ATTTGCCTTCTTCTGATGAGCTTAATCAGCATTATGTGAACTTGCTGTTTTATAACTTGATTGTAACACATGTGGTCCAGCTTTAACAGAGGTGTGTCGTTTAGTGTCCTAAAGTCATAACCTTACCATTACCTTAAATGTTTTTTTAAAAAAGGTAAGTGATAGGATTCCTGGCTTTATTTTTACATCCTTGAGACCATCAGTTTTTATGTGTTTGCACTGCCATAAATCAAATGACTCTATTCACTACTGGATATTCAATATGTTCTCCCATATTAGCTTGTCTTCATTAACACACTGTTAAACTCAGAATTAAGTTTAAAATCTAAAAATTACAAAGTTATGAATGATCAGACCTCATAGTATAATTATCCTATTGGAGCATTTCACTCTCAAAGTAAAGGCTTCCTTGTGATTCCTTAAGTTTCTAAAAGTAAAATGCCAGCCAGATTCCTCTGTTATCAAGCCCCTCTTCTGTTGAAACAGCTCTAAGTTTGGGTTTAGGAGAGAGACACTCTCTCCACTTTTAAGACTATGCTTAAACCTTCAATTTGTCTGGATCCAGCACATAGTTGGAACTGAATCAGATAAACCTGCAACGTCCCTCAATTAACATCCCTTCGTGCATTTAAATGCCACTACAGAATGTCATTAGCCTTTGTGTGCTCTTTCCTGTAGACTGTGTTTCGTTGTGCTACACTCTCCGCTTTTCTTATCTAAAACTGATTTAATAAATACTCGGCCTTGGTACTGAGGCAGATACCAGAAATAGGTGCGTCTTGGACGCGTTCTCTGACGCGTAAAACTTCATCGTGGTTCCATTCGCTGTCTTCTGTCTTCTACGCCACGACGTCATCATGAAGGGGCGGGAGCACGGCGTCGAGTGGGTAACCAAACAGCAGCAGGGGAGAAAGCCACCGGCGGATGCGCATCGTTCAGGTGAGATTCAGTGGAATATAATGATAATTAAAATGAGGTGAAGGCATTGACGCGCTCTTTGATTCCTCCTGTTTTGCAGGTAAACGGAAGGACTGTTATATAAATATGAGAAAACTTAGACGCTTACGCTGATATGGTAGCTACGTAGCTAGTATTAGCTAGCAATGGGCTGACGGTAATGTGTCGCTCGCTGTTAAGCCCGCTTTCCATGTTTCA